GCGTTGTTTCTCTCTACAGTTGGGTTTATGCAACAGTCAATTGGGGTTCAGGGAGAAGCAGCTTAATCTTTTGATACAGTTGGTATATGAGCTGTGAATGCCTAAGCTCATTGTGTGGGAACCGAACATTCATGTGAATAGCAATCGATAAGTGCATAGTCACTTGTATAAAATTCTGCTTCAATGACTTGGTATTTGATGCTGTTTGACAACTGTTTTTGCAAGCAGATGACTAGTCGTATACAAGATTGGAATTTCTTGTTTTCGGGCAAGTAAATTCATTTCAGTGTTAGGAGTATAGCGTAAATGATGACTCTTTGTCAACATGGGTAGCTAATCTCTATTTTCAGTGACTATTATTAAGGATTGCATCAGTTTCGTGTGTGTTTTTCTTTTAAGAGTTCATTACGATGTTTAAAGTCGATTGGGATAGAAGATCAGGTAGTTAATTGGTGGTAGTAGTTCTGAGATCATGTTCATTTTGAGTGTTGGAATAACAGTTGATGCTGTCGTGAGGATTCGGGAGAGGGTTCTAATATTGGTGCCTGCTGTGGAGGTGTCCACCGGTATTTGGTGAGGAGACCCGTGATGCGGTGGAGGGGCCTAATATCAGAGTTCAAGTGGGCAATAACCTAATCTCAGCAAGTCACTATAATATACACACAAGATTGAGTTCTTCGAGTGATTGTTGCTCATTGTCCTTTGGTTCATCAGAAGGAAGGAGGCTTATCATTTAGGGAACAAGAAACACGATGACTCATTGTCAACTCGGATAATTGATTGTCCATCCTTTTCAAGACAGGATGATCAGTTTTTGTGTGCTCTACAGTTAACAGTTCAATATCGTCAAATATGGCTTTCAGGGGACAGAGCAGCTAGTTTCTCTGTACCGTTGGTGTAGCAGTTGTGGATCAAACAACAGACCTTCAATACATAGCACACAGTCACTTGTATAAAATTCTGCTTCAATGACTTGCTATTTTGACAAACATAATTCTCTGCAAGCAGATCATAGTCGGTATACAAGATGGAATTTCTTTGTTTCGGGGCAAGTAGAAGTGATCATAGTCGTTTGTTCATGTGAGGGAGACTCAATAATTTCCTTGGAACATGAAACCCGATGACTCATTGCCAGCAACTGGCTCTCTATTGTCTTTTCTTTTTCATGATCAGTCTTAAGGATTGAATTCGTTTTTTTTAAAAAGTCAATTGGGGGTTTAGGGGAAGAGCAGCAGTCATTTGCAGTCAATTGGTGTAGGAGCTCTGAGATAAAGCAATTCTATTCAGTATTCATCAGGTTCATTTGAGATCAGAGTTCAGTGTGCCACAGCATCATAATGACTATTTTTCATTCTCGATGATTTTGGACTATTGAGTGTGCGAATAATTGATTATCATCAGTTTGGTTAACCAGTTTTCCCATAGCAAATAAAAGTAAGTACACAAGAATGGAGAGATTCTTTTGTTTCAAGGCAAGTGGAATTGATCATTGCTCATTAATCCATGGCTTGAAAGAGAAGATGACTAATTTGTCATCACGGGCAAATATATTTTTCATGATAGGTTTGATAAGTTCTGTGGATTTCTTCTTTTCAGTTAGAGTTCAGCACAGTTTGAAGCCAATTGGGGGATGCAGGGGCAGAGTAGATGGTTCTTTGTAGTCAGTTGTTGTAGGAGTTGTGGGATGAAGCACGTTGATATTGGGAAATGAGTTCAATGCTGCCATTTGCACAGCACATAGTCACTTGTCAATGACTTGGTATTGATGAATGGCAACTACATATTAATAGTTTCAAACAAGCAAATTGATAGTCAGTACACAAGATAGATTTGAGGCAAGTGTTGCTCGTCTTTCACTTGTCCACAGCTGGGGGGCTTATTATTTCTTGAAGAGAAAAAGATCAGGTTTGAAATGGGTGTTTGTACAGCAGCTACTTGTCATAAAGGTTGTAGAGCGATAATCATCAAATTTGAAAAGCAGATGATAGTCAGTGTATGTCAATGCAATTGCTTTTCGTCTTCAGTTTTGTTTCTCAAATCCATAGGAGAGCAATGGAGGCAATTCCTAACTTTATGAGAGAAGAAGAGCCTCTATGACTAAGTCTTTATGGACAGTTTTTATGATATTACAAGTCAGGGAGCACTCACAGATATTATTGAACAACGTTCGATAGGCGTTTTAAGGGTGTTTGAAGTCAAGTTCTTGCATCATCATGCTTTACCACAATCACATTGCATCAACAACGGATAAAACCTTGGGGCTCTGTCCGTATTCAAGCTTTATGAAAATTAATCAGCATAGTTGTCGAAATCGGTTCTTTTTTATGTCTTCGACTGTTTTACAAGTAAGCAAAGATTCACAAATTCAGTGTTTGTTTTCAGGGGCAGCTGCATTTATAGGAGAGGGGATAGACTTTACACACACCCTTATAAGTTGGTCACTGAAAAGGCAAAGTGTCTTTGTGAGGAATGTCAGGAAAACTTTAGATTCGAGAGGTATATTCGATTCTTTTTCAGAACAATGGTTTCACTGTTCACCAGAACGATGTGATATAGGAGAGGTTTCAGTGAAAAATCTGTGTTGAATGATATTTACACCCATAGTGTGTTTGCTAGAGATCATGTTAGTCATACGAGCTGATTGATCCATTGTTACACAGATATTTTACAATGAGACATTGCCAGCAATTATTACTGTTGCTGATGATTATAAGTGTGTTTTACCGAAGCACATGCTCACCATCAGCTATTTTGCTTCAATGAAGAAGTGATTTCTGGCGATTTTACTTCTTTGCAGGGGAATAATATAATTTCGTTTTCACTTTGTTGGGTCACTAATAGAGCAGAACATTTTTCAGCACAGTGACAGTGATGCATTGTGACAAGTCAAGTTTGAAATGGGTGCTCTTAGTTAGCTCTTAATTGCTTCCTGGAGCACTATTATTAGCCTGTATTCCACAATCACGGAGTAGATTGGGCGAGCAAGATTTTAATTTTCATTTTACTTCATTACACAGCATACACGCTCTTCTTTAGAGCAATATGATATAGAACTGTGTCTTAGGATTAGACTATTAGTAGTCATGACTTGAAAAAAGTCAGAAGAATATTATTATTGGCAACTAATTTGTTACGTCTGTCAAAGTTGCAGAGACAATCTATTGATGGCGATAGGATTGCTAGTGAAAGTTTGATAAAAATGTGATTAGGGAGGGGAGGATTTCCATAGTCTAGCTATCATGTAGTCAGTTTTTCGTACAGGTGTCATGTTTAAAAAGGTTAACGTAGATGATACACATTGGTACATTAACACAGCTCTATTAGTTAAGACACATCCACACCAATGTAAAGTTGGAAAAGCAGAAGTAACTTTTGAGGTATCTGAAGGTTGTTTAATTCATTGATGCAGCTTGGTTCAGGGGACATTACACGTTACACTTTTCAATACTGATGATAAGCTGTTCAGTAACACAGTGTTGGTGGTAAGATACGCACACCAAGGTAAGTAAACAATGCACAAGTAGCTTTTGAGCTAGTTGACGTAGCTTTGTTCAGTAATTATTTTCTTGAGGTGGCTTTGTTCAGAAATAACAATTTCTTGTGAGATGTTGTATGGTACACTTGATAAAACTGTAGCTACTGATAGTGTTAATGTGAATTTCATTCCAATATGTTCAACTGCTCGCTCTTGGTCATAAAAATGTGTGGCATTTGTTCTAGTATGTTGAAAGAGGAAGTAAAAGTAACTTTGGAGGTATGCGAGGTGTCCTTTGTTCAAGAAGTGATAAAACTGTTTGATGGTTGAATGCTTTTTCATTTGCAGTTTTTCAGAGCAATTTTCATTAGGTTGTTTCACGTTTTCCAAGAGACTGGGATTGTCTATAGGCACATGAAGCTCAATACAATGGGAATTGTGTGGGAAAGGACTTTCATTCCAATATGTTCAACTGCTCGCTCTTGGTCATAAAAATGTGTGGCATTTGTTCTAGTATGTCGAAAGAGGAAGTAAAAGTAACTTTGGAGGTATGTGAGGTAGCAACCTTTGTTCAAGAAGTGATAAAACAGTTTGATGGTTGAATGCTTTAAGTACACATTTGCAGTTATTCAGAGCAATTTTCATTAGGTTGTTGCATGTTTTCCAAGAGATTGGGAATTGTCTAGGCACATGAAGTTCGATACAATATTTCAATAGGAATTGTGTGGGAAAGGACTTTATTTCTCTTCAGTTGAGATTTGGCTAACATGCTAGGCACAAACACATGGAACTAAAAAAAGCTGGGTTACAAAACATGAAATTTCATATTTAATGATTAATATGAGGACAGTTGTTACCTAACTAAACACATAAGACAGCCAGTGATGTACACTGAATAATTAGTGTCGCCCCTGGAGGGACGACTTACCCCGGAGGGACAGACCCCGGAGAGATGCCTCAATATCAAAGGCAAGGGATTTCATATCAATATTTTTCAATACTCTGAGAAAGGTGACCCATGTTATTGGCAATTTACCTTCACCTTGCAACCACTTTTTTGAAATTTCTAGGTTGATTGCATCCGAATCTCGCATACACTTCTCCTTCAGGGCATCCGTTCTGGATCCATCATTATCATTTAGCAGGAATATTCCAAAAACATTGTAGCGAACACCAATTTTTATAAGAATGTTTATTTCACTACCATTTAGCATTGGAAAAGCCATAAGTTGTTGTAGAGTGGGAGTTTCTCTTAACGGCTGCAGGTAAATGGACAAAGACAATGTCAATAAACAAAGATCCCATTACACACATAGAAATGCATTGCATCAGTTGAAAACTCAAATTCCACAACTGATTTAGAACTATAAGTGGAGATGTATAATTATTTCAAGCACATTTAGTTTTCCTTTCACTCTTATAATATTACGAGCCATACTACGGTATATAACATGCACAGCAGACAAAAAACTTACATCAGCACTTTGTTGACAGTCTGGAATTAACTGGCCTTTAAGTAGTCTGCAGTTATAAAATGACACGTCAACAGATGCTATTGGAAATGAGCTGACTTGCACTTACTTCCTTGATAGCTTATCAAAGCCGGCATTATCTAACAGTTGAGCAAGTTATAACGAGTACACCTCACACCCTCAACACAATCGGAGATGACAGCATATGCTGCCCCTGACTCCTACGCGGGGCCCTTGCACAATGAGCGTATATTGCATCTCCATTTCTTCAACAACATTGGATAAACCTCCTCCTTGGATTAATCTCCTTGGCCACATTGGATAAATCTCTTGGCCACAAGCTTCATTTCAGTTTCAGTCAGAGAACCGTCCTCAATGCAAGGCTGCATAGAATGACACAATAAATCATAGTAGATATTAAATGGGCCACACTCACATGCACTGGAAGTTCACTTGGTAGCCAGAACCTTTGCTGAGGAGACAGTTCATACTTCTGGTGAAGAGCACAAAACAGATTGGACTCGCAAGAAACACCAGGCTCCAATACTACGAAGTGCCTGGGAGCACTTTGTGAACATGTGCATGGAAATGCCAAGTTAGATGTAACACACGACATCCAGTCACGTACATTCTTGCACATGCTAACCAGCTCCCTCTGTAGCAAAATACACGACTCAGCAAATCTAATATTGTGTCTATTTCGCTCTGCCACTCGAAAAAACCTCACAGATATGCTTTCCAGTGATTCGGACACAATTATTCGGTCAATATCTCTGCACTTAAACAAAATACTATTTCGATACACCTCTCTATCTAAAAGTGGTGTGTAACCTTCCTGGTTAGACATGTGTGCAACTAATCGGACAAAAAAACCAGGCGGGACATAACCTGTACTAAAACACATATATAGAGTAGCTGCTTCGCGTACAGGCTTGAATTGTGGTGGCTCTGAATTTTCTGTTGATTCTGATTTAGGCTTTACTTTCAACACGCAAGGCATGAAATACTTTCTTCCCCTGCTAGACAGCATGTCATATGGACATTCATTTATTTCAGTAGCAAGATCAAAATGAAGAAGAACATCAACAAGAGCTTGTGGGCCCCCCTCTAGCTCACAATCTTTCCATATTTCCTGATATAACCCTTCAACAACAACACCTCTTTCTTCAAACCACTTCCAAAACCGTTTCAGATGCTGAGGTCGGTGACCAAACCAATCTGGCATAAGTAGAAGTCGCAACTGGTTAATAAGCCATTGTGGCTCAACTATTATTGTAGTGGCAAGAGATGGTACATTCGCATAGTGTAAAAGTGCACCTAACTGGTGGTAAAATTGAAGCACACTTGGTACAACCTCCGTAGGAATTTGGCATTGCTCGGCAATGAAAACAACTTCACTGTATAAAAGAATTGGCTTATCCTCAGCAACCCTTTGCAAAACCTGCCTGAAAGTAATCCAAGCCAGTGGAGTGTCTACCACAAGCGATTTTGCAAATTCAGTGATATTTTCACGAATTTTTTGGTACCCAGGATCTTCTTCCTTACCCTTCCCAGCCTTAGTGTTGTCAACAAGGAGCTTGTCAACTATAATTTCACTAAATGAAGCATAATCACAGGCAGACTGAAGTTGAGACTTTACACCCTCTACTTCCTCTGGTGTTATTTGATCTTTCCGTGAACCAACAAGCATGGCTCGAGGACACTTTGGAATAATATTAGAGCTTGGACTGGCCTGAAGTAGCAAGTGCTCATTCTTTTCAATAAGGGAACAATGGATTAGTTGCAACCATTGTATTAATAGCTGCAAGTGTGTGATATTTTGCTCCCTTCCCATAATAGGTTTACCATTGTGGTGCCATTTTTCTTGGTACATTTCCTCAAGATTAGAGGAAGCATCAAAAAGAAGAAGAAACATTGTGCGAGGGGTAAGAAATGCAGCAAGAATATCAAGAAACACGGGCTGCCCCCCACAGTCCCATATGTGCATTACAACATCTGGATTATGTTTCCCCTGGTGTTGTTCACTATGTTTCTTTGCTTCTTTGATAATTTCATTATAGGCAGTGCTGGCTATTGCTGATACCTTCTCCCTATGCTCACGACTAACTTGTTTTCCTCTAACTTGATGCTTTATAAAAGCAACTGCACTAGCAGCCAAACCAAAGCTAACAACCGCAGGAGCCGAATCCCAGTTTGTGATATAGGACCCTGCTCTTTCAGAGCTCAGAGAAAGACAACGAGAATGAGCTGCTAACCTTGTAGCCACATCAGAACTAGTATGCTCTTTCCAAGCCTCCTCACAGCTATCTGCTGCTTTGATCCACTGAAATGACACAGTGCGCGTGTCAGCTACAACTGTGGTTTCTGCCATTCTTAATGGAACATTCATAAGGCCATCGAGTAAGCTGCTCTTCCCCGAACCCCCTGCCCCCAGGAACATTAACCGCACATAAGCACCAGGAACAGCGCCTTTACTAAGAGCCTCAGCATAGTCATCTAGCAATACAAAGAGCCAGCATTTTTCCATTGATTTTAACAGGTTCACAATTCACAATACGACGCTAGACTTCCATTTCTTTTGTCAACGAGCTGCGCTGTTCACAAAATTACAATAAAACTGTAGCAAACTAAATGAAAGTCTAGCATCATAATTATTGTGAACCAGACTTATTAAAGCCCAAAATAATTATAATATAAACCGGCAAAATGCAGGCACAGCTTGTTCACTTTGCAAAACAATACGAGAAACATTTCTGCAAATGTATCACATATTGTGGTTCAATAATACAGAATAAAAATAAGCATCACATTTATTATAGGGATTGAAATTTGAAATGTAGTTAGATAATATCATAGGGAAAATGCGGTGCTTTGATTATTTCACATACAGTATAATACACTTACAAACGATGTACAGAAGTTACTTCTTTTTTACCTTGCAGTCTCTGCAAATTAAATATACAAACTAAAACTGAAAAATAGTAACTATTTTCTTGTGCATTCGTGTCATCCTCATGCCTAATGCCATGGTAATGTTATAACATAACCAGCCTTGGCCACAGTCACTGTTGCATGCAAAGGTAAACAAATGCTATGATTGAAACGTCGAGAGGAAACTCAGCAACACTAGTCTGCCTACAATTTACATTGTGTCAACACAAAACATACCCTGAACTAAAATAAAATACGTTAGCTAGGTCTGGCCATCAATACGGTACTTTATGCACATGCGTAAACATTGTGTGCATTAATAATAACAACATGCATGCTTTTAATTGTGCAGGTAGTAACGAAAAAGGAATGTGAAGAAAGACATATTATGTTAACATAGAGATGCATAATAAAAGGGAACTTACAGGCTGTTGTTGTGCAGGTAGAGGGAAGTAAAGAAAGACACATAAGCATTAAGTACTCATGCCTAAAACAAGAGAACTTACAGTCTGTTGTTGTGCAGGTACGTAGTGGTGTCATGGAGGAAGTAAAGAGAGACACGTAAGCATTAAGTACTCATGCCTAAAACAAGAGAACTTACAGGCTGTTGTTGTGCAGGTAGAGGTGTCGTGGAGGAAGTAAAGAGAGACACATAAGCATTAAGTACTCATGTCTAAAACAAGAGAACTTACAGTCTGTTGTTGTGCAGGTAGATGGTGTCATGGAGGAAGTAAAGAGAGACACGTAAGCATTAAGTACTCATGCCTAAAACAAGAGAACTTACAGTCTGTTGTTTAGCAGGTAGAGGTGTTGTGGAGGAAGTAAAGAGAGACACGTAAGCATTAAGTACTCATGCCTAAAACAAGAGAACTTACGCC